TTGTTCTCCCACGCGGAATCTCGCTTTGCGACTTTCTTCTACGGGAAATTTTGCGTCGAAACATCGTGCAGCGACGCTGCATCCGCTTGCCGAGAGCAACGAGAGAAACGACGCTCCCCGCTCCGGAACGATGAAACGAGACTCGTGTATAGACTTGCGAGATGCATAAAGAAAACGAGCCGGCGAAATCGAGGGGAATACGAATTTCTGTAAAATGTAGCAACCTCCTTGATCTGATTCGTGCGTGTTCCTTTCGATCGCGACGGAGGAAAAGGGGGAACGAGACGAATATAAAATTTTTCCAGATGGAAATATTCCATTAGAGATGCCAGAGAAGATCTCGCCGTGCCCGGGGAGGGAAGATTGAACGAACGGAAGACACCGGGAAGAGTGGAAACGGAACGTTTAAGCGGAACGTTCCGCAAAGGCTGGAAACACGTGCGAGTGACGCTCGACAGGATGATATTCAGCCTGGAAAGCCGACGACTTCATAAAAGCCGGCGCTTTGAATCCCAGGCGTAAGCCCCTGTTCACTTGGTTTTCTTCGATTATCCGAACAATTTATCAGCCGGCGTTTTGTCCGCCCGCCCGTTTTAATTCCGCTCGTCGCTCGTCGCCGGCTCGTTCATCCTTTCGTTCATTGTTTCGGAACTTTCGAAGCTTTCGCTTCGAACCTTGAACCTGCTGCTGCAACAGGCACGGATTTCCCTGTTAATTTTCCACCGGGGGACGTTCCTATCATTGTCGAGGGGACGGATTGCATGGGAAAGAGCTTTAACGGATGAAAAATGGCACGATGGGGAGATCCCTCGTGGGGAAAGTTGAGCGAAAGATCGCCGATTTCCTCTTTTCGTTCTGATACGCGTCCTATCTCCGGCGATTCGTTTCTTGCGCCGCAGCAAGTTATACTTTTTTCCTGACCATTGAAGGGATCCAACCTCGTGAATCTCGAGGTTAAGATGGCGTAACACCGTGTAGTCTGACAGGATGACGAATAAGCTTCTTCGTCCTTTTGTTGGTCTCCTTTTTTTTCAAGCGGTACCCGCCGTGTCGCTGTCGCACATATCTTTCCTCTTTTCCCAGCTGCTGTTTCGTACGATTGTAAAATCAGGAGCGAGACACAGAGAGAGAGAGAGAGTTAAATTTTACTTGCTTTACGAAGCTATCCACCCAATTTTCTGTTAAATTATTCGCTATAGAGAAATATGCTTCAAGCAAATCTTGTCGTTTGGGATAAGAATGAATCAAGGTCACCACCTCGAATATCAAGATGGACGAGGAACATTTGTGTTCAAGGTCATTCAACGTCAAAATGGTGACCTTGATCGTCAACACACTGATTTGTTTCTGTTTCCTAGACGTTTTTCTCGCGATGTTCTCTAGAAAATCAGGTGTTTCGGGAAGAACTCACTATTTGTGGTTACACAAGGGTGCAACTGTCATTCAATAAATCAGAATAAATCAATGTGTTGACGCCAAACACTTCGAACATCATAGATGAGGATCTTTGGACATTCAATGAAGGTGAGCTTTGAGCGGCGTTGAATGACGTTGCACGACTTTGGAAGATCAACGTTATCTAGGTCGCTGAATTCTCGATGTGTCAGCTACGAGACTGTAAACTATACAGATTCATTGAAAGAAATGAAGGTGACGTTGAAGCTTGAGCTTGATAAAATTTGTGGTTTTCGTCCTCGGAACAACGTAAGTAATTTCATTTCTCTCCATAGCGGAACAGAAAATTGCGTGGATAGACACGCTGCGTGTAATACAACCGAGAGCTTGCAACTTCAAAACTTGCAGAGTTAATTACTCTATCTCGTGATATAATTGTGATCGTGGAAAAGTCTTGCGACAATCTGAACTCGCTGCTCTCCGATGGAAAGAGATGAGAAAAGAGAAAGAAGAGGAAGAGAAAATCGTTGGTCGGTTTCGAGGATGACTTTCTTTGTTGAAAAAAAGTTTCCCATCGCTTCGCCAACAGATGAACGAACGATATTGTAGAAAACAACGTGGGACAGAATGGCGTGGAGATGGGTGGAAGAAGTTAGTTGCCGTTCGGTTTTTACTCGGGCGAAGGACGAAACTGTCGAAGGAAGATCCGTACTTTGGATTCATTCGTAGACCGAATCGTCACCAGACCACACGGCCAGTCGTCCTTACGTTATCCTGTTCTTTCCAGCCGGTCAAACTTCGCCCCTTGATACTTCTGTTTGTTACTGGCTGTGTTGCCGTTATCGTTGCGACCAGCAACTTGAGACTCGCGAAACTGTCGGTGGCCCCGGCCGCCTATTTAGACGTTCGAACTTTCGGGAACAAGCTGGCAGCTGGCTTCAAAAGCTGACGGCTGGTCATTCTGCGGAACGCTTCGCAAAACTTATCGGTCAGGCACAAGACCGAGAGTGTCGCCTCGAACTTGCAAGCGTTCCATCGGCGATCGCCCTTCGAATTCTCGCCGTGCAATCGACGTGCAATCGTTCGCCACTCGCACACCATCGCGTCCGATCATTTCCACCACTTGCGTCTGTCCAGCCCCTCTCTCTCTTCTTTTTCTTTTGCTTTTAAAACTTCCGCCGCTTCCCGGAATCTGGACCGTCGCTAAGTTTACCATATTATCGGCCGTCTAACGAAAGTTTTAACCGGATTTTTCTTTCCGTTAACATGGATTAAAGGGAATCTGCTTAGCATGCAAATGTCTCAGACAGACGATGTCGCTTTATCGCGACGACGAAGGAATTTTCGTTTCGGCGGCTCTCGATACGTACTGCGACTTTTTAATCGCGTTAAGTCACGACGCTCTGTGTAGCCGTAGTCTTCG